TTAAAATGAGTGGTGTGAAGGTAAAGACAATAAAATTCTTTATTTTGTTTCAGCATTTTTTTCTTTATGATTTGCTCATTTTCTTTAGAGTTGAACAGGGAAACACATAAAAAGCAAAGACAAAGAGAGGAGTTTGCACTCTYTGGAGGCAGAACTTGTGAATCATAGAGTTTGATTTCCACAAAAATAGACATTGTCTTGTTTTCAAGGGTTAAAGACTTAGATRCCTGATTGAGCCATATCCTCAAAGATTTTCTCTGCCATCAATAAAACCACAGTCCTATAAAAGTCCTAAAAAACCTTACACATGAGAACAGCAGCATTMGCTGACTTTAGGTAAATATCAGGAGTAAAAGTAACTTTCCTGCTCTGTCAAAAGCTCAAAGTCGTTGTGACTGTTCTGGAATTTAGTGGCCAGCCACATGCAAAATTATGTTGTTAGCYAGGAGTAGACACTTCCTGCTGCACTGTCACATCAAATACACAAATGTTTTTACTTTAATTCACCTTACTGACAAATTTATTATCAAAAGGTAAAGGAATACAAGCTGTTTCACTGTGTTCGGTGTTCTTGATAAGGTGATGTAGGTTGTAATACTTTTTTTGAGACTGTACTAATAATTTTTGCCACGATTTTTTTTTTGTCAGACTCTGATATTACAGAGTCCCCCTTAAGAGGTACAGTATATTTGACAAATAAAAAATAGCAGTACTCAAAGAAATGTAGATCATTGGCCTAAATTGGATGCCAAAGTTTTAAATAAAGATCCTGTTTCAACCATTAGCGCTCAGCGTATCTGAGCTACTATCACAGCTCAGCATTTAGCTCAATGTTTGCAAACTWGACTAAGTTACGAGGACATTTATGTTTGTTAAATCGATTAACAGAGGTAGCTTTCTTAAATCAGCTTGACTCAAAGTTAAAGAGTTGTAGATTCACATCTAATGAGTACATTTTATTAAAYAATTCCAGTGGCTCCTGAGACATTTTACAGTTAGACACACATTCACTGTGGCTCCCAAGTTTTTCCTATTGTTGCAAACCTAACCTTAACCTAACGAGTCAATGAGCCATTGGTTCAGGTATGCTGATGACATCTGGGTTAAAATTAAATCCCAGGAAGTCCAACATTTCACTGATCACATCAACACTGTGAATAAACATATAAAGTTCACACGAGAGGATGTAAAAAAAAAATGGCAGGTTGGCGTTCCTGGACTGTGAGGTCTCAGTCTCTGATGGAAAATGGTTGGAAACACGTTTATCGCAAACCCACCCACACAGATAAGTTTTTGCGATTTGACTCTCCATCACCCACTGGAGCACAAGTTAGGAGTCATCAGGACTCTGTACCACACAGAGAGACAGTGTCCCCAAAACTCAGGAGCCAGGGAGAARGAGAAATCACACACAACACAGGCCCTGGAGCAGTGTGGTTATCTTGATCTTTCCAGAAAGCAAATAAGAAACCCAAACAGGACTCCAGCCAGCCATCGGGTGAAAATGAAGACCCCAAGCCCAGACCCTGACTGTAGTCATTCCACATGTTTTGGGACTTCCAGAGAAGCTGAGATATTTATTCTCTAAACATGATRTGGCTTTCAAACCCAAAACACATTACAACAAACAYTGGTTCACCCCAAAGATCCAGTCCTGGCACAAACAGAGCAATGTTGTATATGCTAAGTGCCAGGAGGACTGTGACCAGTTACACATCAGGGAAACAAAGCAGCTACTGTAATAAAGAGTGGGCCAACACAGAAGAGCTACACCATCAGACCAGAACTCTGCAGTTTACATTCATCTACAGGCCAGCAGTCACTATTTCAGGGATTAAGATGTTCTCATCCTTGATAAAGAAGACCGCTGGTTTGAGAGAGGAGTGAAGGAAGTCATTTCTGTGAAGAGAAACTGCCCATCATCAAACAAGGGTGTAGATCTCATGTCCAATTGTCCTCCTCTTACAATGGTCTTATTGCAAGTATGACTCAGCCCGCTGTGAACAACAATTGTTAGGCTGAGGGTCCTCTTTTGCATGAGAACAACCAGTTTTGATTGCCACTGTTRATTGTTTGTCCACCATGTGAGTTCACCTGAAACTCCTCAGACTGAAGAAGTCTCTTGAAGAAGAGACAAAATGTTTCAATAAAAAATAACTTCTCTAGAGGGCCTACTCAACTTTTTTAGACACACACACACACACACACACACACACACACACACACAC